AAAAAACCGCGTAAAAAAAACCGTGTAAAAAAAGACTTCAGTGTAAATGTTTTCATTTCAATGCCTTGACATATCAAACGTTCAGCAACACTTACAGAATTTAAAAGACACTGCATTTCACACGTTGAAACTGTCTTTTGAACAGTTATCCAGTGATTTTTTTATGAATTGACAAATTATGTATCTTGACTAAGTTATCTCTAACGGATTATTTTATATGGATAGCAGTCATAACGACTTTTTTAATAATTATTGTAGCACTGCAAAAACTATTTCTGTTCGCCACGATGGTGATGATGGATTTTTAATATTTGATTTAATAGTAGATTGATTAAAAAAAAAAGTAGTCTACAACGGTTTGAGCCTCGCGCGCGTATTACGGATATAGAGGACTGAATTTAACATTTGATAAAACAAAATGCAATTTTGAAGCTTATTTGGAAAATGCCTTGACTTAGTAGTAAGTTTTCTGGCAAATGTTGGGGGTTCGTGAGCATTCCTGACATTGCTGAAAATTATGATAGCGTCAGATTGCGGGGTTGCTAGTGTAATAGGATGCTTTGTTGATTGTTCATTAACTCTTGATTGCTTGTAATACTTATGAATATTTTAGGTGGACAAAAAGGCGAACTAAGAGGTGGACGCCTGAGCTTTTCCACATTTATATCGCTGTGAAGCAACTGTAAACTCTGAAGGGAATTTATTTCTGTAACTGAAACCAGTTCGATTTTGTTTGCTAACCTGGTTAAAATGTCATATTCAAATATCTTAAAGATAAAACGTCCAGCTCAAACCTTTGTAGGGGTAAGAAGAGGTAGGACCATCATCATCATCATACATCAAAACCCAGAATACACATTGAAAGACTGGCAATGATTTTTGATTGATTTTCGAGAATGCTCAATACTTCATCCATTAGTTCCAAAGTATACCGGTGGTAGATGAACTTAAAACCGGACACTTAAGCTTGCATATTCATCTATTTTATAGAATGGTCATCCAGTTCAGAACTTTAATCTAACAAATCTTACTTGTGATTTGTGCGATTAATTTGTTACACCAAAAATCTATTAGGTGCTAATAGAATGTCTTGTAAATACTGAAGACTCCAATAGAGCGTGAAATTCTTTCTTTTTTAATTTGGTGAACCCATGTGATTCATTCCATCATCCCAATTCCCGTATTTGATCGAAACGGATTTGCCAGTAGGAAAACAAATAGTTTGGCGTATTTTGCGCGTCGTGTGAGGTGAGGTGACAGTGAAGTGGTGATAAAGTGACAATTGTCACCTCGGGTGAGGTGACTCTCCATTTGATTTGTATGGAAGGTCGCCTCCCTAAGCTCAGTCGGTAAAGGCGCAGCTACAAAACAAGACCATGCTGGAGGCGGCTGGGTTCGATTCCCGGTCCGGTCAAAGAATTTTTCGGGCTGGAAAATTTCACGACTTCCCTGGGCATAGAGTATGATTGTACTTGCCACACAATTATACTAATGCAAAAATGGTACAGGCATCGAAAGCTCTCAATCAATAACTGTGGAAGTTTACGTAGAACACTAAGTTGAGAGCTCGCAATAAGCTAATATGCAATAAGCCATGAGAAGAAGGAGGAGGATCACCTCACCCGAGGTGACAATTGTCACTTCCCTTTCATCTCACCTCACAAGCCCCGCAGAATAGGCCTAAATAACGGCATGTATTAAAATAGGATCCTATTATGTAAGTTGAGTCGAGCTTCGCTTCTGGTCACTGGTCTATTTTGGTATCATATAAGTAATAAAAATGTGAAGTAAGTGGCACGGTAACCCAAAAATGTGAAAGTTTTATGGATTCTGTTCCCGTAAGGACCAAATGGAAACAACGAACGTCGCGTTAAAGTAGAATTTAATGAAGGTATAACCACTTTTTCGTGGCTTTTTTGTCTCCAGGTTTAAAAGATCATCGGTTGTAGAGGCTTATTCTTGTGTGAAGGACACCGCCGTTGAGTTTGAGTTTAAATAAATCCCAGGTCCTATAACTTTAAGGAGACTTGTAGTAACATCGCTTGATTATCGTGTGTTTTGTGCAACTTAACATCGTCATCAATGTTACCTTCAGGGCTGGTTTGGAATGGTTGCAATAGCAACGCGATCTTAGCTTGTTTGATGTGATATGAGGGGCTTGGTGGCCTTAGAGCGACCATTTTTGCTTACTGAGTAGAACATCATTAGATTAATCTCAAGCACCTCCACATTCAAGATTCGTTAATCGCTTTATTTGTTAATGTGAATACATTGGAATAACAACAAATCGATCATTGGTATGTTGTAATAAAAGGAGCTCGTTTGCCTAGTGGCAAACGTTTATGCTTAATGAGCAGAAGACCGTGGGTTCAATCCCAAGCTCTTTCGCGTTATAGGTTCGTTAGGATACCAATTCAGCTTATCGTTTACTAAAACGAATCCTGCTGCAAACCCAACCCTCTTACCCAATATCCCTGTGATTCCTCGTGGAAGTGCAGAGGTGTATTCGGCTTCCATCAAAACGAGTGTCACGTCAACGCATTCCTCCCTATTCCTTTCTTGACCTGCGTTCGGGTGCGGCCGGCGCTGGTATTGCCTAGTTTGCGATCACCAGTTTTTACACATTGAGGATGATTGCTAACCCCAAGCATCGTCTATTGGTTCTCTGTGTAATTACAGCTGATCTGGCAATAACAGAGTAGCAACCCTGGGCTGTCAATCATGCTCATGCTTATGGCAAATATTTGTGATGGTTCCTGGGGGGCTGATTTGGACGAATTAAGGTTTATAACTAAAAAGTTTCATATGAAATCTCCAGGTGATTATGGAAATTTCTATATCCTCATCAAAAAACTCCCAGAGTGTACCTTGTCTTTCTTGGTAAAATTATTTAACAGATGTTTCTATTTGGCATACTTTCCTGATAAATGGAAAAATGTAAAAGTTTTATGTTAATAATTATTTATGTTGTACAGGCTCAATCGAATTAACTTTACAGAGCCGAGTTATCAATTTCGTTATACATTATTAATGTCTTATATTTTAAGTTAAAGGAACTGGACCGAATACTCGTGGTTGTCTCGAGGTTAGTGGAGATTTACAATTTTTTGGATGGGAAAAGGGAGAAATGTGAAATGTGATTTACGATACAAATATTTAATTAATCCTAAAACATAAACTTATTTCTATTTATCATGAAAACAAACATTTAAGAAAAAAACCCACACGTACAAAATACAAACAAAACACAAGGTTAATCAAACTAACAATCTAAGGTTAAATGTAAAAGTTGTTCCAATTCTTTGGAATTATGGCTTATTGGTTTCATCAATAAGTAAACATTTCAGAAAGATAATTTTGAATAGAATGATGCTTCACACCAAGGCGAAGTCAATTTTGCAGATGCGCAGTTTGGATTTCGCCATGGGCATTTATCTACTCATCAACTCTTAAAAGTTACCAATTTTATTCGTTCAAACAAATCTGGATGCTGCTCAACTGGAATTGCTCTTCTAGACATAGAAAAAGTATTCGATGCTGTTTATCCTTGATTTGTTTTCCGTTGATCTTGTTTTCCATGCTGAGCACCAATGCTACAGACGCCAGGGAGGCAGACCTGGACCCTACCTATCGACCCATCAACTCATGGACCGGGGACCAACGGCTTTACTTCCCTTCCGAAGGAAGGCGTGATCAGAGATGTTATGCCTCAGAACATCCCGGCGAGGCCGACAGGGATTGAACCCAGACCTGCAGCGGTAAGAGATAATCACGCTTACCACTACACCGCCGGCGCCACTAATCGATGGTCTTTGGCATGAAGGTTTTATTACCAAATCGAGAAAGTTTAATTTTCCGCTCTATATTATGAAATTAGTTCAAAATTATTCAACTTACAGAACTCTACAGATAAATTATCAATTCCAAGTCTGAACGACTACCTGTTAGAGCAGGAGTTCCTCAGGGTATCATTCTTGGGCCTATATTGTATATAATTTTCACTTCGCACCTCCTTTATTTGCCTCAGGGTTGCCACATATCTTTATCCGTCGATGACACAGGTATTTCCGCCAAAGGAATAAGTCTTCATGTAATTTGCAGCCGACTGCAGAAAAGTTTAGATATTTTCTCTTCTTATTACAAATGGACAAATACAAATATTACAAAAATGGAATATTTCTCTCAACACTTCAAAACTCAACTTATAATACTCCCACATAAGCCAAGAGCTTCCTTTTTTAAACCTAGTAGTAGTCACAAAGTTTCTATGAACGGAGTTCCAATCATCACTTTTTTCAAAATGCAGCACCTTAATTTGGTTTACCGAAGTCAGCAAAATTTTACTGGGTTTTTGAACTGCGGATCACTCAGTTTAGCGAAAAATTAAATTAACGAACAATTCGCAATCATAAATTGACAAAAAAACTACAAGGGACAGCCCAATGGGGTTGTACGCAATGATGACGTAGGTCTACGTGGTATGATATAATAAATATTTTTGTTAACTAATACTGTTTTGCCATTAGTCAATCAAAAACATATACAGTGCCTGAAGTGAGTGAGGTCTTGAAGAATCCATCATAATGGATAAAAGATGCAGATCAACGAGGAAGACAAGAGAAGCGTTAACTCTTTATTATTAAAACAATTAAATGAGAAAAACATAAGTTAATAAAAAAATATTTTTGGCACCTTAAAGCATGTGCCATAAAAACTAAACATATTGAAAATAAAATACAGCATCACAGAAAATATACCACCTTATTGCGGCCATATGTTGACTGTGTTAACGTCATCATTTCGAGAATCAAAACTTCACTTATTAATTTCAGGTTCATAGCTTACTCCGAATAATTAAAACTAATAATTCTAGAATGAAACTGTGCAAAGATGTTCTACTGACGATCAGTTTGTCAAAACATATATTATTCACACATCCTTTGGTCTTATCCCAATAGTCTTCAAAATTTATAATACGTATTATTTTTATGACTACTTACCACCCCAAGATTAATAAATCCATTGCGCTCGGCAATTTCATGGGCCTGCTGATTATCCACATTACGTTTGAATTTTACGAGAAAGGAGCTGGTGAAAACATTGCCAGCAGTCGATTTGCCATTAATCGCTGCCACCAAACAGCATAGTATCAGACTCACAAATATATAACACCATTTCAGCATCATAGCTTAGCAACACACACTGTTCACACTTCTAATTCAGATTATTTTCGTGAATCCTATTTTATGGTTACTATTGCACGCTTTTAGAGATGATGTGCAGGACTTCTTTGATGACGATACACAACAGTTGGCGCCGTATGTGTGTTTTGACGCAAATCAGCCACCAGAAGGTACGTTTGTATGGGTGACGAAATGGAACTTGAATAAAATCAATAAAATGTATGAAATCTCAAAATCGACTCAAACTAAAAAAAACTTCTTAGTTCCATGTGCAAAATTAAATAAAAGAATTGTATACTATTGATTCCGAATGTCCAAGAATATCAATCACTAGAAACATATTGTAACTAACGACACTAAATCCATGTTTTTTGAAAAATAAAAATAAGTTCTTGTAGACAAATTTGGAAAGAAATGATAGCTGTTTTCTAACGCAAAAGGTCAACGAGATGCCACCGATTGAGAAATTTGTACCGATCTACAAAACCGCACTTGTCCGAAACAGATGTGAACACTTGCTCCCTTTTGTTACGCGTTTGTATAACGAATGGGCGATGAACCATTCACAATCTGTGTATAATCCTGCCAAATCTACCCGAAACGTGTCATCTGTTATGCAGGCAAACTACCAGTAATCAAACTCTTTATCAGTACCATGTTGCACAAGAGTAAAATTCAATGGAAAATTGCACGAACATATGCCGGAACTTGACGCATAATTGTCCCATGTACTATGCAGTTTCATATACACATGGGACAATTATGCTTCCAGCGGCGGTATAGAAAGCTTCCAAACTGTGTGCTTTTTGGAAGGGGTGAACAAGGAAAACACCGCTTGATGTTGATTAAAGTACATTCAGTTATAATGTGCGCATGTCCTATACAAACGTCACAAATATTTAAAATGTGTTTCTTACGTTGCATTTTGTTATAATTATGGCATTACGAGTTTGGAAATTAATTTTGTTGTTGTTGGAGCTTTTCTTAAAAAAAAATATTTCGGCTCCATTTTTTAATTGTTGTTTATTTTTGCTTATACCTATGTTGCTGTAGCCACTAAAAATAAAATAAAGTTAAATATCAAATAAACACAAAAAGACAAACATAAAAACATTAATGAAAGTACATTAATTTATCTGTCAGTGATTCCCGACCGGCACGGATGAGAATCTCGAGAAAATTGCATCGCGTGTGAGGTGGAAGTCGAAGACAGTTGCAACTCTATTGAACACTCGCTGCAGGCCGTAAATCGCACGCATGACCTTTCGAACAGTGTGGTCAATTCTAAGAATTTTTAGATTTACTTTTTACTTCGGATCTAGGAAGATACAACTGTGGTATAGATGTGGATCCAGTCGCTAATTTATTAATTTTCAAGTTTAAGATTATTATTTTGTTTTAAATGTGTACAAAATTACTGTCAGAACTATTTGTATTGGTTTAGCAAGGATTATGTTCAACAGGGACTGCAGGAACGATTGAAGAACTTGCAACAAAGGGAGAACTAAAAAGAGTATAGAATATAATCCACATTTTGATATCAGTGAAAACTCATTGATAATTTATTCAGATATAAATACTATGTTTGGATAACAACTTCAGTAATCACAATGTTATTGCATAAATGGAGAGAAAACAAAATTAAAATACATCAATTTTTGATTTCATCACTAAGATATCATAATGATATCAAATTTTGTTTTTACTTCAATTTATTAATATATCAAATGTCAACATCAAATGTCATCAATGTCAATGATGATATAGTCAACAAACTAATAACAAAATTTGTATTCATATTGATGTTGAGAACAATATTTTATACCATTTCGTTATTATTTTGATTTTAGACTATGTCCGTGATGTCTTCAATTATAAGTCAAGTTAATATTTCGAGTAAGGAATCAAAGTTTCAGCATGCTGGAAATACCCTCCCCTTGGCTAGTTTTTGCACCTTGCTGTTGGTGGGCGGGCTTATTTAATGCTTTATAGTGGAGTGTTGGAGACGGTAGGTTTATGGTCGGCGTTGCTGGCTCATGCCGCGATAGAATGGCGTCATGGGCAGGCAATGGGGATTACTAAGCTTCCCCTCTCTGATAAACCACTGCATGAGAGAACCAAAGATCTAGTCTAGCAGTCATAGTATCACACTTGTTACTCCTTTAATTGAGAGCCGCGTCGTAGTACGCTTACGTATAGGCACTGACGTTGGGTGTGATACTGGCGGGTTTTTCGCAAATCACTCTTATTTTTATTTATTTTTACGCAGATAGATTTATTTGGGCAAGGGAATTATACTATTGAAATATTTCAGAAAGTGCCCAACGGTGCTCCTTCTATTTGCGTGACAAGCTTTCATTGTTGTTTTCATTGAAGTATTACTCAGGAAACAATGTTAAACATCATTTTTGTACATGGTATTGTAACTAATCTTATATGTACTTCATTTTGATTTGGGATAAGTGTTTGAACTATGGCTCGGGATTTCCACTGTGGCGTGCTTCTATTGTGACATACCCATACGTATTTTTGTGGTGCGACATAGTGGAAGCGTGTGAGCATAGTTGAAGCATATACCCTATATAATTTAAAAATCAACTAGGAAACTAACTTCAAAATGAAGCATTTTAGTCACATGAAGGTGTTACCTGGGTCGAACTAAGATATAATAAATAGGTATAGGCTTAAATCAAAAGTACTTGAAACACGTTTAATTTTAGATTACAAGCACAAGTGCAGGTACTTAATAAAGCATGCGTTATGATTGATTAGGTGAATTAGAGCTTTTAATAATTTATTAAATTAGACTAATGAGATATCATAATCATCAAAAAAAAAAACTAAACTTCAGAAGGTCTAATGACATTAAGTAGATTAACAAAAGAATTAGGATGCGGGGGGTCCGCTTAGGTAGGCAACTAACCTTTAAAGTTGTAGAATAAATCTTCTTATTTAGTCTTGAACATTAAAAAGAAAACGCAGGCAGCATTAAGCAGATTAACAAGGAGAGGAATAGTTTAGGAAATAAGTAAAAGTAGAGGTATGTGACAATTAATAACTTTTAAACTTTTGGAAGTATTGTATTCCCCTGAGTTTGTTGTACTCGATTACTATATTATTCCCTCAATACGCGAAATCTCTTATATATGCGGTTAAAGCATTTGAGTTAACTTATTTCTTAGTGTTCAAGTACTTACATTTTTAAACAGCAGTCAATATTGATCTATGAACTAAACCATAGGGGAATTTACGTATTCTCGTCAATCTAAGCAGCGTCCGGACTTCTATTAGCAATTTCTAAGCGTCACACACATATATGACGGGTTTGTTTATTGACATTTATCTGCTGCTTGCTGTTCTATCAAATCCAATCGACAGAATTGATCAAAACGGGTTGAACACGTTTTTACATCGCTCCAAACTTCTCAGGTGAGTGTGACTATTGTCGGCACCATTTCTATTTGAACTGCGTGTTAACCAGCTGTTCTATTATCGGCAACTTGAAATCAGCCGTATTTTGTAGTGTGTATATTTCATTTAAAGAAAAATCTGGCATAACAGTATTGCTCAGTCGTAAAAATGTAATAAGATTGAAGCTGAAAGGGTAAGGAATCGGTTGCATACATTCAGCGAAAAGTTTTGATGGGAAAATACAGTGAAATTAATGTTTCAATTTCGGTTGCCGAAAACAGTCAATGGGTGCCGAAGCCATAATTTACCCTACGTAAAATCGATCTTTCCTTAGGGGAAAAGTTGGCTTCGGCAATACCTTAACCTATTATTGTCAGGGGGGTAAACAAAGTCCTAGAGCACTCAAATTTGGCCAATAGTTGCTCTGAAACACAATGTATCCACATGCCAAAATTGAGGTCTCAAAGACGTTGTTTACCCCCCTGACGATTATAGGTTAAGGTATTGCCGAAGCCAACTTTTCCCCTATGTGGTATTGATGCATGTTTAACTTTTCGCGGCTGCCGGAATCAACGCGCCTACGTCTACGGAGCTTAGGCAGAAGTGATTCGCAATGCGGTAGAGCTCACCAAAAGTTTTTTTGAGCTTCTGTAGTATACAATTTGTTCGGTACGGTCGGGAAATCTTGAAATGATTGATACGTGCGGTAAAATAACTAAATTGAAACAAAGCTCAACAGTAAAATAAGTAGAATATTTAGGGAGGAAACCAAAACTAATCAACTTGCCAACATAGGCTATCACATTTATTTTGGTGGCACTCTTTAAGTGATAATAAACTGTTTTTTTTCTATACGGTTATTTCGCGTGGCGTTCACAATTTGCGCGATTTTCGTATCTTACGTAATTTAGATGTTTAGCTCTAAACGGTTTTACTAACTCGAGGTCATTCCTTAAGCGGTGTTGGTACAGGTTAAACCTTTGCCGACTGTCGGATTCAACGCGCCTATGTATACGGAGCTTACGCAGAAGTGATACGCAATTCGTTAGAGCTTGTCAAACGCTTTTGAGCTTATGTAGTATAGAATTTGTTCGGTGCGGTCGCGAAATCTTGAAATGATTGATACGTTCTTTAAATTAACTAATTTGATACAAAGCTCAGTAGTAAACAAGTAGAATATCTAGAAAGGAAACCAAAATTAATCAACTTGCCAACATAGGCTATCACATTTATTTTGGTGGCACTCTTTAAATGATAATAAGCCTTTTTTCTCGCTTCGGTTGTCTCGCACGGCTTTTGGAATTCGCGCGGTTTTCGTAACTTACATAATTTAGATATTTCGTTCGAAACGGATTTACTTATTCAATCGGTTTACTACGTGGATGTATCTACGCGCACACGTCACAGCATTTTTTCTATAACTATCTTGAAACAATACATACGGAATCCAGTGTTCAAGCGGCCAACATAGGCTAGTCCTTCTGGTGTATTGTCAAAGATAGAAGCAAAATTTATTCAAATGGGTCAAGTCTTGAAAACTAAGCTGTCACGCAGCTCCAGCTTGATACCCAATAAAAAAAAGTTTCAGCATGCTGGAAATCATTTAAAAAGTAAACAAAAATTTATAATACTGGGAGACTACAAAATGTTTGCAACCTTCAAAGAATATAGATTAAAATTACAGTTGGAGGATAAAACAGCAAAAAAGCTTATCTTCCATTTAATTCCACTTAATTAATTTTGGTATCTATATGTATACGTATTTTTTGATTTACGGTTTTAGCGACTTTGCAGTCAATTTAATTGTTTATAGGAAAGTTTGAACATACTGATAGGTAAGCACATATCATCGGTAAGAGACGTGTGTGTGAGAAAATTTGCGAAAAAATCTAAGGGCACCGGTGGGATTCGAACCCACAATCCCATTCAGTACACGGGTGCATTGCCAATTATACAACGGTGGACCTATGGTCTACGGATGTATTTGGCTAATGACATTTGAGTTTCGAATCCGTTCCCCACCCTAGTCTTTTTGCGCAAGCGTTCTCTGATACACAACAATCGTCTATTATCGACGGTACAAGCACATATCGTCGATAATAGACGATTGTTGTGTATCAGAAAACTCTTGCGAAAAAAGACTAGGGTGGGGAACGGATTCGAAACTCAAATGTCATTAGCCAAATACATCCGTAGACCATAGGTCTACCGTTGTATAATTGGCAATGCACCCGTGTACTGAATGGGAAT